CATTCCCATCAGAGCAGTAAAACAAAAGCCAACTGCAAACATGGATTTCATTCCAACCATTGACAGATCCTTGTTATTCTTCAGTTTCTCTTCTTGCCTATTTTGTTGTTGTTGTTGTTGTTGTCAACCAGCTGACTCTGTTATTGTTTCCTTCTTCTTTTCCAGTTTTTTTTTTACTCTGTTTTTCCACTTCTGCTTTCAGTCTCTTGAACTTGTCTGTCCTGTAAACCAGGACCCAGTTATACCCTCGGCCAGCAGGGCTGTGGACACGGAGATGAAGACGAGGAGCGTGTCTGCGAACATGGTGCTCATCCCGCACCTCGGCCCCGCACCCCTACCTGCTGGGCCCTACTTAATCTCTCACTGACGTCATGCATTGTTTTTCTTAAAATGGAATTGTTTGTGTATCCCCTTGCGTATTATTGAGTTTTGTTATAATCAATATTATGAAATCCATTTCTGATATTTCTGTGACTTCTTGGAGGTCTTCCATTGCTAGTAAAGAGTCAATGTATTCCTTGGGAAGAGACTTACTCCGCTTCTCCCCTTCCCCCATGTTTCTTGCATCCATGTATTGATTTTTTTTTTTTTTTTTTTTTGGCATCTGGTGGAATACTGGATTAGGTTTCAGAGTGATGGTATTTATTTACTTTGGGGGTCATTTATTTTCCCATGGCAGTGTCCTTTTGTATTAGTTCACTGAATTGTACTGGCTTTGATTCTAGTTAGGCTTGGTATAGAATGCTTGTTTTCAGAAACACCAGAAGGGGTCACCAAACCTGTGTTTTCACCGGTTAGTGCTGTGTACTGGTGTTCCACTTGTAGAAGGTGTAGATTCCTTCAATCCAATGACAACTGCTGTCTTGGAAGGAGTGGTTTCCTGAGTTCTCAGACCTTATGTAGGGAGCAGGATTCTCTTCCAGGGGAGGTAGCTGAGTAAAAATATCAGCTGAAGTTGGGTCATATCTTTTTTTTTTTTTTTTTCACAGGCTACACACAAGAAGGATGTACATACTGGATGAGGAGCTGTGGCTCAGGAGATGGCTAGTTGGTTAATTTGATATTTGTGTGCACCATGTGGAGATAAAGAAAGCTGTCTACTCCAGTTCTTGATTATCCCCACAGGTGTGGCACCATACTGTAGATGATTCAGTGAAGGTGGGTTGGGTGGAGGTTGTTGGTGTTGGAGGGGGCTGTTGGTGCAGGAAAGAGTTGTGTGCCCATCTACAGGGCTGGAAGATAAGGGGGGGGGGTGATGCCTCTGTCTGCTTTTCTGCCCAAGAGGGGTGATTCCTGGCACTGTCCTTTTCATCAGCTGCCCCTCTTCACATCTTCAATCACATCCACAATTCTAGAAGTTCAAGAGATGAGGGATGGTGAGGGAGAGTGGGAGTATAGTCCTGCCAGTCAAGGGGGAATGTCCAGATTCAGCTCCTAAGATGGTACCCTGTACCTAGGGATTGGTAGGGTGAGTTCAGCTTTCTTTCTGAGGTGTTAGATCCATGCAGCTTCCCAAGATGAGCCCAAAGTCTATGTCCATCAAGGTGCTCTCTTGCACCTGGGTCTGAGGTGGAAGCAGGAAGCTTAAAGCTTCAGAGAGGAGTCCCACTCATCTCTTCTTAGCGAAAGGTTTTGTTGGGCTCTGGTTTGTTGTCTTTCACTGGAGACCTAACACTCCAAAAACTTCCTACTATCCTGCTCTTGTATTCCATTGGTCTTATCTCACCACTGAAGGTGCAGCCATCTGTACAACTTTTTTGGGCTCTCCTCCCAGAGAGGCCATGATGAATGTACCTTCACAGCTATCTTGTGTTTGTTCCTCCACAATTAGTATTTTTTTTCCTTAAAGTTTATTTAATTCATGAAAGATAGTACTTATCCAAGAGAGAAAAATCACCACCCTTGCAAGGTCTCATCACACTGTGATCCCCTTTCCCAGTCCTTAAGTTTGATAGGATCCTGGGCACATACGTGTGCATCTGGTGTATTTTCAAGCTGATCTAGCAATACAGTTCTGCAGTTGTCCATGTGGCTTCCAGCACTGAAGTTCAGTTCATTACTGATTGTTCCACCAGGCTGGGCCAATTTCTGGGGTGTTTTTTCCTTTTTGGTTTGTTTTTAAACATAACAATCAGAAACAAAGACTTAGTGTTTCCTATTCTGTGGTTCTGCTTGTCACTTACAAGAATCAAATAGCAGAAAATGGTATCTGTTATACCTGCTATGCAACATTATACTCAAGCTTCAAGTCAGTGCAGTAAGTAAATAAAAACAAATAAAGGCAGATTTGGAAATGAAGAAGTTAAACTGTTTTTATTTGCAGATAACATAACTGGGATATAGAAAATTAAAATGAATCACAAGGTATTAGCATTAATAAGTATATTTAGCACAGCTATTTGATACATGGTTATATAAAATAGTAATTGTATATATTATAAAATCATAATTCTAATATATATATCTATATATTAGGTTGTCGGAAAAGTTATGACCTGTTTTTCTATGTAAAATCATGTCGTCTTTTCTGATGACCCAATATATGTATATACACATGTATGTATGTATTAGAAAGACAAAGTGAAGTAAAACATAACGTTACTACAATATAAAGCATACAAAGCAAATAAATGTGATGTGGAAGACCACAGCAATGAAAATCACAAAACATTTTTAGTAAAAAATAAGGAAGACCTAAATAAATAGAGGGATATATATCATATTATGGCTTGGAAAACTTAAGATTATAAAGAAATCAATTCAGCCCAAATTTTTATATGGATTAAATGCAATACTATTTAATCCTCCCCTCCTTATATTCTTGGGAGGTGTGGTTTAAAGCTTATTTTAAAATTTATATATAAATGTATAGAACCAGGAATAACTAAGACCATATTTAGATGGACAACTTGCACTACCAGATAACATTTCAAGCCACAGTTGCTCGAAACAGTAAGGCACTTGTACGAGAACAGAGTAATGAAATACAACAATAACAAAACAGTCTATACAAATATGGTCACATACATAAATTACAATGTCTTCTCCACCAGAATGGCTAAAATGAAAAAAGTCAATACCAAGAAGCAGGATAGACAAAACTGGAACTCTTATTCAATGTTGGTGAGAGATAAATTGTTATAACTACTTTCAAAAACTGGGCATAGGAAGTGAGGCTGAACAAATGCATATCCTATATGACAGGAATTTCACTTCTAAGCACAAACCCAACAAATCTGTGTACCTATGCTCATTAAAAGACATAAAAGAGAAGTTCAAAGAGTTTGTGGAAAGTGGAATTTATTTTGATAAGCTTTTTTCAAACTCAGTTTTTTCATAATACACATTTCCATGAACTTTTTAAAGATCCTCTAATGCACAAAAATGTTCATAGTAACACTTTTCACAGTAGTCCCAAACTTGAAAAAAAACAAATAATCCATCAAAAGTAGAATGAATATAGCATACAGTTACAGTTATATATACAGTATACTATTATACAGTAGTAGGAATAAAAGAATTATAGCTATGTGCAATAAGATGATTCTCACACTCATAATGTTGAGTAAAAGGAGCCAAATGTAAAAAGAATATATGTATGATTCTATTTATTTAAAGTTTGACAAAAGGCAAAACTAATCTATAATGTTTTAAGTCTGGATGATTGGGCTGGGGGTTTAGGTTTCTGAAAGTAGTATGAGAGGGCTTCTGGGATTCTAGTAATTTATGTATTTAATCTCACTGGTTACAAAGGTGTGTTTACTTTGCAAAAGTCCACTGGGTCATACACTTAAGATTTTTGTACTTTTCTGTATTTATGTTATACTTCAATAAAATGTTTACATAAAAATTACCAAATTTTTCAGATTTTCATCATTCAACTTTTCCTTTGGTACTAGGTATGGTACTTTTTCAGACTTGTGGACTGAAGTACTTAAGTACTCTTTTGATACCTTAAATAAGGTGGCCTTGTGTTTATATCAAAGAACCACTTTGAAAGCCAAATTTTTTAAAAAGAGAATTGTTCAATTATCTGTATTACTGTTAGCATTTTAATTTTTCTATAGGGCATGTGCACTGAAAAGAGAGACAGAGAAAGAACAAGAGAGAGAAAGTGAGAAAGCAAGCCACTTGGTCCAGGACTCACTTTTTAAAGATCCTCTAATGCACAAAAATGTTCATAGTAACACTTTTCACAGTAGTCCCAAACTTGAAAAAAAACAAATAATCCATCAAAAGTAGAATGAATATAGCATACAGTTACAGTTATATATACAGTATACTATTATACAGTAGTAGGAATAAAAGAATTATAGCTATGTGCAATAAGATGATTCTCACACTCATAATGTTGAGTAAAAGGAGCCAAATGTAAAAAGAATATATGTATGATTCTATTTATTTAAAGTTTGACAAAAGGCAAAACTAATCTATAATGTTTTAAGTCTGGATGATTGGGCTGGGGGTTTAGGTTTCTGAAAGTAGTATGAGAGGGCTTCTGGGATTCTAGTAATTTATGTATTTAATCTCACTGGTTACAAAGGTGTGTTTACTTTGCAAAAGTCCACTGGGTCATACACTTAAGATTTTTGTACTTTTCTGTATTTATGTTATACTTCAATAAAATGTTTACATAAAAATTACCAAATTTTTCAGATTTTCATCATTCAACTTTTCCTTTGGTACTAGGTATGGTACTTTTTCAGACTTGTGGACTGAAGTACTTAAGTACTCTTTTGATACCTTAAATAAGGTGGCCTTGTGTTTATATCAAAGAACCACTTTGAAAGCCAAATTTTTTAAAAAGAGAATTGTTCAATTATCTGTATTACTGTTAGCATTTTAATTTTTCTATAGGGCATGTGCACTGAAAAGAGAGACAGAGAAAGAACAAGAGAGAGAAAGTGAGAAAGCAAGCCACTTGGTCCAGGACTCAAACCATGTTTAGCCATGTGGGAGTCCAGTGCGTAAACCACCATGCCACATGCTGGCCCCAGAAAGTCAAAATTTAATCATTTTCTATTTGGGAATAGTTTGAGAGAATAGTTAAAAATAAATGGAGGAAATCTGAGGAAAAAATTAGTTTTCCAGGATGATGTGGGTTGCAATGAAGAGATGGGCAGAAACAGTGATGAGGAAACTAGAGATTCTTTCCTAATTCCACTGATAATTTTAAGTGAGCATCGTCCAGTCTTCTGGAATAAAAGTATAATAGAACAGTCATCTAAGAGGTTAATTTCTTCAGTTACTTATGTTATTGAATGATATCTTTGACATGGCATAGAAACAAGGTCAAAGACTAAGGCCTAAAACAAGACTGAGAAAAGCGGAATTATAGTGCTTTAGGAAAAAGATATTTGCTAGAAATGAGGCAAGGCTCAAAGAGGGAACACCAAGCCCTCTGGCTAAGAATTAATAGCTGGCCACAGGAACTTGATCAGAGAAGACACAGGACACAAGATATATTTTGATAAATAGTGGGTTTTCTTCATTTTTCTGAAACTTTGTGGTAATCTTTCTTCCTCCTTAGTAACTTTAAATAGCTTTAAAATGCAAAGATGGCTTTCTTTTCCCTGGTGAAGAAGAAGGATAGAGGACAACTAACAAAAATTCCCAGAAAACTAGCTATGAATTAGCCTCCTGCTTTGTTTTCCTAAATGGCTAGAGAGAGAGGAATGGAGGATGCTTATAGCTCCATCATAAAATATTACAAATCCTATCAGCATGGTATGCTTTCAGCATTTAATTGAAAGTGACTTCTCATAAAAAATGTAAATTGTACCTACCTCACAAAGTTGTGGTGAGGTTTAAATTAGTATCTATGATTCAAAATAGTGTTTGGCTGATTTTGAGTATCCAACACATACTAGCTATTATTATTAAGCAGGCATATCAATGTCCTTAGCAAGAAACAAGATCTAGTGATAGGTCAACTAAAGATAATATCTAATGTAGTAATAGTACAGGTCAAGTATTTCTTATCTATAATAAAACACAGTAAGTATTTCAGATTTTTTCAAATTTTGGAATATTTACACATACAGAATGAAATCTCTCAAGGACAGACTCTAAGTCTAAATATGAAATTAATTTATGTTTCATATACACCTTAAACACATAATCTAAAGGTAATTTTACATAATATTTTTGTACTGCAGCATTTTGACTATGACCCATCATTACATGAAGCTGGCTGTATAATTTTCCACTTGGGATGTCATGTTCTTGCTCAAAAAGCTTCAGATTTTTGGATTAGGGATGCTCAACCTGTATTACTTACCCATTAGAAGTGCAAGTTTGAAAGTGGCATATGCACATTTTAGGTTCAATCATGTTGAAACTCTCTCAGGGTGAGGGAAGGAGAATGAATTATCTTACTGAGAAGTAATTGTCAGCTTTGATATTCAGGTTTAGAGCTACCTCAGTGGCAGGCTTTGAGTCCTTCAGTACCACCTTAAAGGCTGAGATCTATGGCAGTGACGTCAGAGAGCAGCTGACAATTGATCCTTAGGCTACAAATACAGTATAACAAAAACAAAACACAAAGCTCAGTGGAGAAGCTCTCTGTAATATTCTCAAGCACTTATTTATTAACACTTCTTTGTTTCATAGGAGTTCTGCAGAGAAATTAATTCTATTACAGTTATGACAGTCCTTTGAATGCTCTAGGAATAAAAAATACCAGGAAGAATAGGAATTTGGAAATTCAAATATCAGAATTTAGTGACATCGGATGAACTGAGTTTAGAAAAGTAAGAGATCATGCTGATACTATTGTATTATACTTTTTTAAAAGTTTCATTTTTCTATATTGTGAAGTTTAAATGAAACTTTAGATTCAGTCCAAGCTTCTGATTTGTCTTCTTTGGGATGAGTCTAGTAGCTTCTAAATGGAAACAAATTACTCATCAAACTTGAAATCTCATGTGAAATACTGTCTGATATAGGAGAAAATTAGTTTGAAATATATGGCTATGTGTATAAATAAAGGGTTGTACTTTTTGATAAATGATTACTATATATTTTCATATTAACACAATTCCAACTTGTATTTTGATACTGTATTATCTGTCAAGGTTTCTTTCTTTTTTTAAAAAAAGACACTATCTTTACAAAGAAAGTAATTCAAATTAACCAGCCATGCCCTACAACCATAAATAGGAATGATACTGAGTAAGTATTGATTAAAACAAAAAGCACTTTTAAAAAAAAAAGCACTAATTCTTACCAATTCCAGAGGTTATTGATTCTGCATCAATGTCACTAGCTCTTTTTCTTGCTACTTCAGCTAGCGCCAATTCACCCTTATCTCTTGCAAGGTAATGGATATCCTTTGGAAATAAAGCAAAATAAAAGATTAATCCAAAATTAATCTTGGTCAAGTTACAAAGGAGATTTTGAAAGAAAGTTACTGTTTAGGTTACAAAATAGACACAGTTGATAAATTTTTTTTTGAATTTTAAAATTTCTCAGTTTTCTATTGTAAGCAAATTTTTTTCTTACAGCTCTAACTAAAAGCACTTATTTAAATAGATTTTATTAGGCCTAAGAGAAAAATATTGTTTTTTGTTGTTTTGATAAAATATTTGACATACTTAGTTTTCCTTTTCCTTTTTTTTTTTTTTTGCCTTAGGGTGCATGCACTTGCCAGAGAGAGAAAGACAGGGGGGAGTGGGGAGTGAGAACTCACCCCCAGGTGTGATGGCCACACTGTAATCCCCTCTCCTCCATTCTCCTCTCAGGGTCTTGGACACAGGTACATGTGGACAGGCTTAGGTTTCAAGCCACTGGGTCTGAGACTTGAACCATGGTTGGCCAAGTGGGGGGGGGGTCTAGCAACTTAACTGCTACACCATCTGCTGGCCCTGACATACCTAGTTTTCTCAGGGAATAAAAACCTTAATTGTTACTGTCTTATACAGACTATAATATCTGAAGAGCAACTTAAAAAAATTAATTGCATATTATGTTAAGCACTATACCAGGAATACAGTGCAGATTTCTCTCTGATTTTTATGTGTATGGCATCTATTCTTTTTAAAAGGTAAATACTGTCATTCTTTTAAACTCATTCACTCAACAAATAATTAGTACTCACTAGGTGCCAGGCAGTGTTCTGGAGCATAGTGATCGATTACAATACCATGTGTTGAGAAGCTTTGAACCCCATGAGAAGAAAGACTGCTATTAACAAATATTTAATTACATGAAATTGTAGAGTTTATGATACATATTTGCAAGAGTGCTGTGGAGCCAAAGAGGAGGAACTAATCTTTGATGTGAGTCTTGAAGGATGAATAAGGAGTTCACTAAGAGGAAAAACAAGGGGAAGGTGACAGGAAATGAATGCCATCTGATACATATATGCAGAAAACTTGAAAAGAAAAAAAAATGCTCTGTTAGGCGATGGCAGGTCTTGTGATATGAAAAGACTATTGGATGTGTGGGACAAAGCAGTGGCAAACAATATGAGCCACTAGGTAGAGCCACTAAAAATGACTTTTCACTCTTTTTGGTGTGCAAAATGACTGTTGGAATGAAAATTTTATTGTAAAGAAAATGGAAAAAGAATAAGGTCAGTTTTATATTTATAAAGAAATTAATATGAATAGCCTGAAAACAGACACACTGAAAATGAAACTGGACAGAAAGCCTAGGGATAAACCCAAATATCTAGAGTCAATTGATGTCAACTAAGATCCCAGGAACACACAATGGTTAAAGGATAGTTTCTTTAATAAATGGTGTTGGTAAAACTAGGTATCTGTATGCAGAAGAAAGAAACTGAACCCTTATCTCGCAGATAAAAATAAACTCAAAATCGATAAAACATTTTGAAATGAAGTCTAAAACTACAAAGGTTCTAGAAGAGAATGCCTATGACATTGGTCTGGGCAATGATTTCTGAAAAGAACTTTAAAGGTATGGGCAATAAAATAAAAATAGACAAATGAGCATGCACCAAATTTAAAAGTTTCTGCACAGCAAAGGAAACAACAGAGTGAAGAGACAGTCCATGGATTGGAGAAAGTATCTGCAAACCGACATCTGATAAGGAGCTAATATCCAAAACGTTCAAGAAACTCAATAGCCAAAAAACAAATAACCTGACTTAAAACTGGGTAGAGGATCTGAATAGGCATTTCTCAAGTGAAGAGGTATGAATGACCAATAGACACTTAAAAAATGCTCAACATCTCTAATCATCAGGGAAATGCAAATAAATACTATGAGATACCACCTTATACTTGGTAGAATGGCTACTATCAAAAAGATAAATAGTGAAAAGTGTTGGTGAGAATGTGGAGAAAAGGGAAACCCTGTACCTTTTTGGTAGAGATATAAATTATTGGGTTGTCAGAAAAGTCATGATGTATTATTTTCTATGTTTTTCTATTAAAAAATGCATCATAACTTTTTTGATGACCCAGCAGGACAGTCATTTTGGAAAACAGTACGGTAGTTCCTCAAGAAACCACAAGTAGAATTACCATATATGTAGCAAGCCTACTTTTGTGTATATATCCAAAGGACTTGAAACTGGTATGTCAAAGAGATCTATGGGGCCAGCAGGTGGCATGGTGCTTGAGGTACTCGATTCCCACTGACCATGGTTTGAGTCCTGGACCTGGCGGCCTGAAATCAAAACAAATAAATAGATAAATAATTAAAGAGATATCTACACTCCCACATTCATTTCTTTTCCTCTTTTTTTAAGAGATATTTTTGCTAAGGGCACATGTGCTCACTGGAGAGACAGAGAGAGAAAGAGACAGAAAGAAAGAAATCACCCCCCAAAGCAGATGGCCATGCTGCAATCCCCTTTCCTCCATTCTCCTCTTGGGATCTTAGGCATGCATGCACACGTGCCTAGAGTAAGTTTCAAGCTGCCGGGTCCAGGAGTCAAATGCCGTTGACTACATGGGAGTCAAGAAACATAATCATTATGCCATCTGCTGGTCCCATCCACATGCATTTCAAGAGCCAAGATAAATGTAATTAACTTGAGTGTCCATCAATGAACAATGGATAAGGAAAAATGTGTTATATACACACAGTAGAATACTATACAGCCTACAAAGTGAAAGAAATTCTGTCATTCAATGACATGGGTAGAACTGGAGGACATCATAATAAGTGAAATAAGTCAGGCACAGAAAAACAAATCCTGCATAATCTCACTTATATATCAAATCTAAAAAGACTTGGTCTCATAGAAATAGAGAGTAGAAAGTAGTTACCAGAGGCTGAGGATGTAGGAGAGAGGAAGGGAGGGGAAAAGGATGATGATGATAAGGTACAAAGTTTCAGTTAGACTGGAGGAATAAGTAAAGTGGTCTATTGGACTGCACGATGATCACAAGTAATAATGTCTTATTATAATATAATTATAATGTCTTATATACATCAAAATTGCTGAAAAAATAGATTTTTGGTAGAAGTTTTTAGCTCAGGGCATGTGCACTCACTGGTGAAAGGGAGCAAAAGAGATGGTGAGAAGGAAACTGAGAAATCACCCCCTAGGGGGGATGGTCATACTGCAATCCTTTCTTTTCCATTCTCCTCCTGGGATCTTGGGAATGCACACCCCCCTCCCCCACTGCATGAGTCTCAAACCACCCTCGGCCATGTGAGAGTCCAGTGACATAACCCCTATGCCACTAAGAATAGATTTGCTGGCCCCTAAGAATAGATCTTTAATGTCCTCAGCAGACACAAAAAAAGTTGGTGAGGTGATAGGTATGTTAATTTGCTACAATGAAACATATAGATTACATTGTACCCCATATATAGTTACTATTTGTACCTCATATTACATTGTACCCCATATATACAGTTACTATTTGTCAATTAACAAATAATTGCCTATTTGGGAGGGGAGAAAAGAGACATGCGTGGAAGCCTTGTTTTTGTTTTACTGGTCCCCGTTTGGAGACACTGAATATGATTTAAAAAAAATTTTTTTTTTGAGAGGTTTTTGCTATAGGGCGCGTGCACTCGCCAGACAGACAGAGAGAGACAGAGAGACAGAAAGCGAGAAATCACCCCCTGGGGGGATGGGACTCCACAATCCCTTCTCCACCATTCTCCTCTCGGGGTCTTGGGCACGCACACACACACGCCCGGCGTGAGTTCTAAGCACCCGGGTCCGGGACGCAAACCACGGTCGACTACGGGGGAGTCCAGCGACATAGTCATTACGCTAACTGCTGGTTCCCATGATTTAAAATTTTTAAATTTATTTCTTGAGAAATGAAAGACAGAATCCCTAACAGTCTCACCATACTCTGACAGTCTCCCTTGTCTTTGGTCAGTCAGGATCATAGTATACTCAGCATATTCTGGTCAGAACGCTAGGCCTTCCCATAGGACTCTAAAGTTGTGCAGTGGTGCCCTACCACCTGGGCCCCTGAAGTTGGGCCCACTGTGTGACTTAAACGATACATATCAAGTCTAAATAAACAATACAGATGGCAGTAGATTTCCAACATTTGATAATTTCCAACATTTACGGCCACCAAGCCAGGGTTAACTTATTAGTGGATGACTAGTTTACAAAAGTATTAGTAACCTGGAAGCAAGTTTTCAGAAAAAATATTATTCACAAGAGCGAACCACTTAGTATTTGTCATTCTCAGTAAAAACTTTACAATTTGACTTACATTAGTACCATCATTTAGCGCTATTAAGTGAAATTGGCTTGCACTGAACAAAAGATGACAAACTGACAGTATTTGGCCATGACCCAGATTTCAAAATTTATACTAGTCTGTCTGTATCGTCTAAGATCTAAAATAAAAAAACCCTGCTGTTCCTGGATTCCTATTACCTTTCACAGAGGACTTTTACATATGCTACTAGAATGAATATGCAAATTTACAATGCAAAGTGTTTAACGCTAGAAAAATATCTTGAGTAGACTTCCATGTTTAAATCATACCTTTGATTGATCACTGATGGGTAGTTACAACTACTGTCACTGTAATCCTTTAAACATTTTAATGTTGAGTCAATTCCATGGCCTGGTAGTTAAGACAGCTAGATCCCACATGGCTAATTATGTGGTGTGAGTAACATGCTGTGTGTGTGTGTGTGTGTGTGTATGCATGTGTGTGTGTGTGTGTGTGCATGTGTGTGTGTGTGTGTGTGTGTATGCATATGCGTGTGTATGCACATGCCTAAAATCTCTAAAGTGAGGAGGTGCTTTCTCCTCTCCCTCTTTCTCTGTTTCTCTCTGGTGAGTACACACACCCTCTAGCAAAGAGAAAAAAAAATTAAAAAATTAAAAAATAAAGTACAATTTTTAAAATTTAATGTTTTTAGATATGTT